CAAACAGAACTAGACAAGCTGCTCACAGAGGGACACATTGCGAAATTAGACAAATGCACAAGCGATTGTTTTATTGCCCCAATTGTTATCACAGTAAAAAAAGACGATTCTATTAAATTAGCCTTGGACGCCAAACCCATTAATAGACAGTTGTACAAAAATAAATACCAGATGCCTAATGTGGACGAACTGATTGATGGGGTTAGCCAGATCATCACATCAGCATCAGAAGGCTCTCTCTTTTTCACCGTGTTAGACCTGAAATATGCTTATAGCCAGATAAAACTAACTGCTGAAACAGCAAAACAATGCAATTTCAATATAATAGGGGGTAATGCAACGGGTACGTACAGATTTCTGACAGGTTTCTACGGGTTGGCAGATATGCCAGCCGAATTCCAGAAAGCGATGGATAGAACACTAAACCACGCAAAGAATACCTTTTGTTTCTTGGATGATATTCTAATTGTTTCAAAGGGGGAAGCTAAAGAGCACGAGAAATTAGTACACAATGTGTTGCAAAAGTTGGACGACGAAAATCTCGCATTAAAAATTTCGAAATGCGAATTCCTGCAGCCCGCAGTGAACTGGTTAGGTCATAATTTGTCAATACAGGGTATAATTCCAAAAGTTACTAAAACGGAGGCAATTGCAAACCTTCAACCACCCAAATCATTAAAGCAACTCAGATCGTTCATGGGTAGCATCAACCACTTAGCGAAATTTATCCCAAATGCGGCTAGTTTAACTGAAAAACTTAGACCACTACTGAAAGAAGAAAATGAAAAAAAGAAGATGAAAAATGTCCGGTTACCAGTTAAAAAATTTGAGTGGAACGATCAACACTCAGTAATTTTTGAGGACATAAAAAGGGCAGTTGCTAATATAGCCTTGTTAAACTATTACGATCCAGCAAAGCAATCTAGAGTAAAATGCGATGCAAGTCATAGTGGGCTCGGAGCTACTTTAGAACAATGGTCTCATCAGAGCGATTGGATACCGATCGCATTCGCTTCCCGGTATTTAAATGCTCAAGAAAAAAAATATTCTACCAATGAACTTGAGCTATTAGCAGTAGTTTGGGCGGTAGATCGTTTCAAACATTATCTACTAGGGAGAGAATTTGTCATAGCAACTGACCACAAGGCATTGACATCAGCTTTGGGAGAACATAGATCAAATAAAACGTATCAATCTCGTTTGACTAGGTGGGTTGACCGATTATTGCCCTTCCAATTTAAAATTACTCATATTCCCGGAAGGGATATGGGTATCGTTGACTACTTGTCAAGAGAACCTAATGGAGAACCGTGGCCAGAATCGGAACTGGATGAGAGATTCGTAGTAACGTCTATAGAAAGTTTCCATAAAGCACTCGACTGTTTAAACAGTCGGTCTAGTGAAACAAACCAAAGTAGCACTATGAACATTCCAGAACATTCTAGAACATCAAGAGAAATTAACTACTGTAAAGACAGCTCATCACGCGGTTGCTATGACAACCAGTTTGTTCAAAACCGGACAAAGCTCGACCGGAACGAGAACGGTCAAAACTCAAGTTTTCAAACAGTTGAGAAGCACAAAAACACATTGGACAGAATAGCTCGTGAGAAACAGTTGGTCGATATTTCAAAACTCAAAAATAAATTAAACTCCAAACAATTAGAACCTAAGGAAACGGCGTCATCGAAAAAAATGGAAAGAAGTGAAACAGGAAAATCAAAGAAGATGAAAAATAAACAGAACGGAAATCAGAGGGAGGACGATCAACTAACGGAACAAGTAACAGAAACCACCTTCTCTCGAACACGGATGGTAAAGAGAGGTGCTGCATGCAGTCGACAGGAGTCAGACGATTCTGATTCAGATATACCGCAAGTTGAGTGGAGACCAGTGAGAAAGACGATAAAGCCTAGAGGACTTAAAGAAATACAATCTGGAAAGGCGTCTGGAACTAGTGGAACAACCCTGATGTCATTTTGGGACCTCATAGGGGCAGAAAGACCAGACAATCCAAAAAGTCTACTTGAATTAGAGGCACAGACAAGTCTACTTGAATTAGAGGCACAGACAGCCTTGGCAGATTGTAATCGAGGTGACCAGTCATCACAATTGAATACCCAAAGTGAAATCCCCCAAATTATTGAAGTGGACTTAACAGCCGAGAGCCCTTCGGAAAGCCCAGAAGTCAGCTTAATTAAAAAGGAAAAGACATGTCACGCTTCCAGGAAAGGCATACCAGATCAAAATAACGTGCGTACTGATATCAGTCTGGAAAACCTAAACAAACTATTTGATAGAAGCCTATTAGCGGAGCTGATATCAGAAGACGCCTGGATGGACAGGCTGCGGCGGGTCATTGAGAGGAACGATCGACACAGCTTCGAGCTGATGGGTCCATATACCAACCCTCTCTGGCACCAACTCTCAGTTGTGGACGACTGCATCCTGGTTGACAACAGATTAGCTGTCCCGGAACAATTGCGTTTGGCAGTCCTAAAGAGAATTCACCGCGGTCACCCAGGCCAGGAAGCGATGCTAGATGTGTCAAGGTACCTGTGGTGGCCGCACATGCACAAGGATATCGTCAACCTTGCAGAGGAATGCAGAAGTTGCACCCGCTATGGTAAGAATGCAAAATACATCATACCAAAAAATGCTACGAAGCCTCTGCCGCTGCTCACGCAGCCAGGTCAAGAAATTCAATTAGACTATGCTGGCCCGCTTGAAGATTTCAAAGGAAAAAAGATTTATCTGTTGGTAGCAATAGATAGGTATTCTAAATTTCCTTCAGTAAAAATCACTAAATCAACAGGGGGAAAGTCGTCAATAAAATTTCTTCGCTCATATATTGATATACATGGAATACCTGAATCAATTAGAACGGATCAATTTTCCGGGTTCAAGGGCAAAGCAATGAAAAAATTTTGCTCCGACAATAACATTGAACAAAAATTTTGTCCAGTTGGCGACCATCGCGGATGCGGCTTAGTAGAACGCACTATACAAACCATCAAGAGAAGGTTGGGAGTAATGTTACTCGATGAAAATGTAACGTCGATAAAATTGTGCTTGAGTACGATAATTCGCGACCTTCGTTGGATAAAACAGAAGACAATTCAAATGTCGCCATTTGAAGCGCACTTTGGGCGATTGCCAAAAACAGAATTTAAAATTCTCAGTGATAGGTTCTTACAAAACTCTGATCGTTTAGATAAGGAACATCTGGAGCGCTCCGCCTTGACGGCTTCGCAACTCAAAAAGAGAATCGACCAATCTCGTGACAACTTAAAGATTGTCCGGAAGGGACAAAACAGCCGAGATGTGAGTCCATTATTCAAAGAGCAAGTCGTCTCGGCAAAGGACCGAGAAAGAGCGCGGGCCCTAAAAGAGCTTCTGGAGGCCAATGCAAGATGGAACCAGACTCGACGTGATACTTCGGCAAACGACCTAAAGCGTACTGTGGATGAGACGAGTACCATTAATCCCGAGCTACGCAAAGAAATGCTATACTCGTGGGAGCGGGGGTTCGTTGAAGATAAACCGGAGGCCATTTCTCAGCAACGTCAGTCGTCACCAATCCTGATACGAAAAGACGAGGGGAGGAAGAGCGGTAAGGCCCTCACGAAACCTCTAAAGGGAAGGGTCGTGGCCGAAACGCCTTCCACAATTAAGACGGCTGCAGGGTCCATTTACCGGAAAAGCGATATTGCAAAGGTTAAGGTTGCGGTGCATGATAAGGAGAAAAACAACAATAGACGATCCCCATCGGGAGAAGAGCCTAAGAAAAAACAACAGAGGCAATCGAGGCGACAATCAGACGAACAAGATGAGGCTGAATTGAGTCAGTCGGATGAAGACTTATTGCTAGAGCAGCCAGGTGCAGCGAAGGAAAATTTTCAGGATAGCCCAACGGTGATCACTTCAAAAGACACCCTACAAGGCGGTGGACTGAATTTGGCGGTACGAAGAGCGAAGCCAAACTTGGCTGGACCATTCTCGAAATCAAATAAGGCTAAAGTGAGCCCAATCTCGACGAAAGACGCACAACAAGTCATATTACAGAATAAAAGTGCTGCGTCAGCAGCAGAAGTAATCGAACCGAAGGCGCCAGACCACGCATGTTCGTCGAACACTATCAAGAACAAGAAAGAAATTACACGCACTACATCTCCTGAAACAATCCTCGACACTTTCAATAGTAAGGATTTATCGGCGAATGACTGGAATCGATTAGCGGATCAAGTACTTGAACGAGGAGTTCAGCGCGCGGCGGCAGAGATACTGCATTCGAGAGAGGATGCGAGAGACGACGAGGAATTGATGAATCCTCCGGGGTTTTCTGACGAATCCGAACTTGAGGAAACATCAGTACGGAAAAGCGGGAGATCGAAAAAGGGACCATCCAGATACGGAAACCCGATTAAGCATTCAGTGAAATCAATCTCGTTCCAGAATAACTTATTGGACTTGAACCAAGCCGCGCTCGAAGCATATAGAATCAAGCTTGCAAATTTTAAACCTGGTGCTTCTAATTCGGTGGAGACAAAATTTGGTCTGCTGGAAAAACATCTATTTAGGAGAAAGTTTGGCAGCGAAGCTCTAGACATAACCCGTTCATGGAACGCCGAGTGGAGAATCCCGTTACAGTTGGAAGAGGAACATGAAGAGAGAGATGGAAAATGAGTTATCTAATACACAAAGCCAAAACTTCTTAAACTGAGTTCTAAAACTCCTATTCATTATTATTTAAAATTTTAATAACATAGTATAAAAATTTTCTTGATCGAGGGGGTATGTGGTACCGCAACTGCTACTGCCATTGCAGTAACTATGCAGTCCTCATATATATTGGCCTTGATAGTGCTACTTACATCTGCCACTGCTATCGCAGTAATCAGATAGTCATCACATATTGACCTTGATAGTGCTATACATATTGTTATCTATAAATTATATAATTCTATTATAAAAACCAAGGTCAAAGAATACGTGACCTTTTAGAAATCCAAGAGAGTCAATCTCTCAGGCCTGTGGCTAAGAACACAGTCAGTAACAAACTAACAACAGAAAAGAAACGGTTTCATTATGGTTAATTAAACTCTTTCGAAACCACTTCAGTTTTCACTATAAAACCTCAGAGGTATTGTTAGTTACCACAATGAATTACAAACAATTCTTGGCTCATTTTTCTTGACTCAGAATTGTTGCCTCAACGCACAATTGCATAGTAAGATCGTTTTAGAATATAACTCACACGACTTTTCAGAACTTATAGCCCCGGGTATTCCAAGGAAGTAACTTAGAGCTAAATATATAGACCTAATCGTGTTTCGTACGGACCTTTTTAGGTTTCCTTACATGATAGATGCAATGTTTCTTAAAGTTTTCCTAAACAATTTTAACATAGCCAACAGACAGTTAGAAAAGTGTAGACGAAATCAAGGATCTGTTCGAACACGTTGCAACTTTCAAATTAAAAGAACTTAACCTGATTGAAAAAAAAAAACTGGAGCAATAGGAAATTTTTTCCACTCGGAATTCACAAAACGGAAGTCCAATTTTGAATCTAGAACTAATTCACGTTCTCTTAATTGGAGAACGTAACTTGAATTCCTTTTAACAAAAGAAAAGGAGTGAACTCAAAAAGACATCAAATGTCAAAAGGCGAAAAATCATATTTGAGCCTGGAAAATTTTTCCTAAAAAAGAAAGCAAAAAAATCATCACGATCTTCATGAATGCCTTCGCTACATTGATTGACAATTGAAAATTCATGCCTGGTGTCATTGAGGAACTGTTTGACGTATAGGTTGGACTCCAACTGGTGGAACTCCTGCACCTCCTCCAGAGCCTGGCTGAGCTGCTGGATGTTCCTGCCTGCAGCCACCCACTCCTCGTGATTCAGAGCTGCTATCTGCGACTTCACCTTAAATACACACCTATAATTGCAAGCCAAGCTTAGTTACTATTTTTCTCTTCCCATCTGATAGTCATTCAATGCATAGTCCGACACGATGAAATAAACAGGCTTAATTAACAAAAACTTCCCTCATGTAATTAGTGTTATTTTTAAGATATACCAAATAAACCATTTTCAGCAAGGGCAAGCGACAGTGAAGGAGTTTCAAATGAGTTCGCAAGATCGAAGAGCATCTTGATACATTATAGCCAAGAAGCACTAATTGCAACAAAACACTTCATTCGAAATGCGCCACTAGTTCTCCCCCAGAAAAACAACGTTAAACTCATGATACAACACAAACTAAGATTGGCAAGCTACCCTACAAAAAGAGGGGGTCCAAAAGTGCCGCCTTCCAGTGGTGGACATGACAGATGTACAAACAGCCGCAAATGGCACGTACCCTACCTTCCCCAACAGGGGAGCGCAAAAAAGCACAAAAGAGAGGAAAAAAGCACAAAAGAGAGTCGAAATAATTTTGAAAACCAAGTCAACACATGGTTGAAAAATTTTCAAAAAAAACTCAAGGACAGCGAAAAAATTTTAGAACAATTTTCAACTTTCGATGAAAAAATATAACACGTTGAAGCGCTTTGCTCTTCAAGAATTGTTTCATCTTTCAAACATTTTGCTTGAACTTTTGAAAACTGGATCAAAATGTAAACTTTTATTTCTAGGAAGTACATGCTTGAAGCAAGAAGCCATCCACATTTTTCGCAACATTTCGATAGTGGAGTTTGCCTTCGTTTTAACAAAGGAAATGAGCTGAACTTAAATCTAAAAACAAAAAATCACGACCTAGAAAAAAAAAGGACAGTTGGAAAAGTGTTAAAGAAGCTAACTAGCAAACAATAAAAACACTCGCTTATTTTTGAAAAACGTCAACTTTTGAATTTCGTAAAATCAGATATACCCCAAAAAACTCTTCAAATTTGAAAAGTTTATGATAGATACTTGTTTTGATAAAATTAACGCGATGTGAGAACACTGGATCGATAAGTATTTTAAAACTGCATCAAGAAGTAAGACAACTGGATCAATAAGTATTTTTATTTCACTGGGAACTCTAAAAATAACATCCACTTTCAAAATTAGAATTCGTTCAAAGTTTCCGTGGTCTCAAAATTTTGGCATTTCAATAGCGGAGTTTGCTTTTTTTTAACAAATGAAATCAACTGAACTTGAAAGGAAATCAAAAACCAAACAGCAAAAAAAAAAATCAAATTTGAGCGTGAATAAAATTTATAGTATTTTTTCCTGAAAAAAGCGAGACCAATAACATATCTGTTACGACCAACATAAGTGATTTAAGTACGTTCTTTGACACTTAACCACTTCACTTTTTTACACTTGAAAAAGTCGGAAAAAACCAGCGAAATTTTCATTCAATTAGCTTGATTAGCATTATTTCTTTTTGAGGAAAACGAGCCGATTAGGACAACTGCCTAGGTTGAATAAGCAATGATACATAATTTACGCCGCCTAACTAAGCCGACAATAATTGAGCAGAAAACAGTAATGCCGAAAAAAATAGTCCAAAAAGAAATTAAAACTCTACACCCCAACACATTAAAAATTCTATACCCCCATAGATACATCTCTTTGAAGCTTAGTAAATTTCAACACAGGCGAAGTTGCACTTTGCACACAAGCAAAAATATGAACGATAACGCTACTGGGAAAAGTTAATGAGTAAAACTTTGAGTCGGTCAACTAATTTTCTTAAGCGACGCACGCCAATTATGAGTTTACATAATTGCTAAGTGACGCAAGCCAATTATGACGCATTAGCAGTACCAATCAATTAAAAAAACAATTTAGCAACCAACAAGCCTCAATTTATAGAGCGGACGCATTTTAACTAGTATATGAAAAAATTCATCAAAAACATCCAACCCTGCCCAGATTCGATCCCTCTTATTTTGTTGCGGGTCTCCTTCCCTACCTATACGCTATAGATCTAAGATACCTTGAAGCTAAAGAGCTATTTGTAAAAAAATGATCTGTGCTAATGTCCTTAGCATTGGCTGTACTTAATAGCTGGTTATTGATCAAAATGAACACTTTTAAAATGAACACATTTTGTCGCAACAAAATTTGATTCGCAACAATAATTGTTAGGTTGGAAAAAAGGAGAATTTATACTATTACACAAGCTTTGCTTGCGTGAAAACAATTGTGAACAAGAGTGTTTTCATAACACTAGAGAGAACTGAATCAATTGGCAACTTTTTTGTTCCCCTGAGATATCTAAAAACTGAAATCCGCTTTCGTGAAAGTCGTTCACGTTTATCGCGCCATTTTTGCTTTCTCATTTAGGGAGCGTAATTCGCCTTCCTTTTGGTCATAGAATTTCAATTAAATTTAAAAATTCGAAAGGCAAACCGCAAAATATCGAATTTGGTCTAATCAAAATAAGACTTTTTCTAAAAAAAATTATCACGCCCTATATAAATGTCTTCACCGCATTCAATGACACTTAGAAATAAATGATAAAACTGAAAAACCATATCAGAGTTGATAAATCCACAGCCAATAAAAAATTCGAATAAAAAGGGCATTTTAAAAGCCTGTTGTTGACAGAATCGAAGAGTTGGTCATATGGTTCAGCTGATTTTGTTAAACAAGTAGTTGGCCTGAAAAAAGTCCTATGTTCCAATTTGATAACGCTCTCTAATCATAGAGGTAATTATGTTTGCGCTCAAAGAACACATTAAATACTTGATAAAAAAGCACTTTTTAGAAAATCATTTTGAAAAATTTACATTCGCTTGCTGAAATGCTCCCAAATTTTTTTGATTCTCGATTGAAAAAGTACCACTGACTACCTCAATAGATGGTCATGAGTTAATTCAAAACTATCACTGCAGGACGATTTCACCCATATTACAATATGTTTCAGGTTAAGCATCAAAATAGCAAGCTTAGATTTTTATTGAAGGATCCACAAAAACACAAATATTGCTTCTTTTCAATAAACTGGCCAGAGGCCTAATTCGGAGGCTAATTATTTCAGCCCCAACGCCACAAGTAGCATCAAAACGCCACCAGTAGCATTAAAACGCCACCAGTAGCATCAAAACGCCACCAGTAGCATTAAAATGCTATTACCACCATGGGTTTACAACCATCTGGTCATGTGATGGCAGGGGTGGGTTGTTACAGACACTGAAGTGACTGCCTATTAGAAGTGTACCTGTTTAAACCACCCAGTGAGGTGTTCGTTCTTGTCTACTCTGGTGAGTGGCTTCACCCCACTGAACACGTCACTCAACTCGTCCATCCTCCCCTCACACTCACTCCTCAGTCTAGTCCAGTGACTAATCTTCTCCGCCAACAACTGCTTGAACATTCGCTTCACCTAAACACAACACTCACTAGTTTAATTAACTCTCTTCACCCAATAATTCATTTATCATTACAAAAGCAAACTTCATCCACCGCATATTTCAGAGCGTTTTAACCAATTGCCAAAACCAGGAAACTATTTTGAATCCACAAACGACATGGGGAAAATAAAAATCTGAGTTTCAAACACTTGTCAAAATAATTTTGAACCCCAAAACGACTCGGAGCAAATGAAAACGACTCGGAGCAAAATGAAAACGACTCAGAGCAAAAGAAAAAAGAAGCAGAGCTTTGCAAATTTTGGGCTGAGGAAAAACGAAAAAAAAATAGTCAGATAAAACTGTGGCATTGTTGAAAAACATCTACAAAAAATTATACAAGCAGTAATAAAAGTAGGTCTCTAACTGACATCTTAAACATGCCTGCACTGCATTAAAGTTCTCAGAAGATGCGCGATCAAGCCATTTAAAAATGATAACACTGTTTTCTGATTTACTTTTTACACGCGAAAAGATATTTAATTGAACACAACCAACAAACAAATGGAAAAGGGTCAATGAACGCAATAAAACAAAAAAAAACTATAATAATTATTTTTTAAATCAATTTTCGAATTTCAAAAAAAAATAGATGACCTTAAAGCTCCTTAAAATTCAAGAGCAAGTAATGATTGACACTTTCTCGATAAAATTAACCCAATTTGAGAAAATTGGATTTTTACGTACGAATATATATGGCCTTATAGCTCTTTGATTATCAAGACCAATTCATAATTGACATAACAATTCAGGATTGAGAAAAATGGATCAGTAGTTGAAGTTTTTATTCCCCTGGGAAATCTGAAAATTAAAAACCACTTTCAAAATTAGAAGTCGATCACGTTTTTTGTGAATTTTAAGCTCTTGCTTTTCGATAGTCGAGTTTGCTTTCCTTTCAAGCAAGGAATGAACTGACCTGAGTAAAATCAAACTCAAACCGCGAAAAATCAAATTTGCGCGCGACTTTCTCCTGAAAAAAAAACATCACGGCCTATACAAGGATCTTCACTAGGTGTATTCTATCCTAATATGGAATGAAAAATCCAACTTTAGTCTTGAATAGCAAAACTTTCGTTAAGTACAGGAATCTACCCACTAACTTGGTGATTAAGAGTCTCAAGTTTTCACATCATTGCTAAGTGCTCTTGATAGCATTAAAGCACTAGCTACCAATCAAGCGGATACCCTTCCACACGTCTGGTCCAATTAAAAAATCATCAGTTCCTATAAAAATGAAAATCACTTCGTTCTTTACACTTAAAAACTAGCTCTGAACATTAAATGACATCTACGCGAGATTTGAATCTCAATCCTTGGACTAGTCGTCTTCCATATAGACATGTGCTACTTGGACTAGTCGTCTTCCATATAGACATGTGCTTTTCAAATAATGAATTTCAAATAATGTAAATAAAACTAAAGCTAAGTTTGGGAAAGCCACAGAGATTTAGCTGTAAAATGCATAAAAACTCAAATTTTGCATGTAATAATTTGAAATGTAAAAAACTAAAGGCAACTTCCACCAATTTTGCATGCAACTAATTAAAATGTATAAAAACCATATTGCGCATAATTTATGCATTTCGAAAATCTCACGAAGTATATCGAGTTGGAATAATTTTTTTCCAGCTCAATTGACGAATTAAGAAAGCATCAACTGTGTTCATTTTAATACTAACCAAAATTCAAAGCACAATATTGTAGTGCTAATGAATCATACAGATTCAAAAATGCCACCAAAAAGTGAACTTTTACTGGTTTGATAGCACCCCGTCCATCAAAAGAAACAGCTACCTTGTCAAGTAATACAGGTTAGAAAGCAGTGAAATCAAAATTTTAACACAGAGGCGAAGCTGCGCTTCGCAAACATAAGCAAGGAAAATGCAAAAACAAAGTGAGTTACGGAAAAAATTTAAAACAAACCTTGGTTGAAAAAAAAGGTGTTTAGTTTAGGAGCATCACAATCTCACATCTCTACCACTACTGTTTGTAACTTTACTAAAACTAGCCACCAAAAAAGTAGCTATAGTTTCTATCAATTTGCCAATATTATGCAGCAAAAATTCGACCAAAAAATAGAACTATTTAAATGTTCCAGATTTGAATATCCGACCTAATGATTAGGAGTCCCACGTCCTCGCATCTGCGCCACGGTAGCTTGGAAGTAAACTAGTGGCCCAGTTACAGCTGAACCTACCTGTTCTAATGTTTTAAACCATATATTGTACTGATACGGAAATGCGTAAATTTCCAAATTTCAAAAAAATGGACTTTACGCTAAACCCTCTTCTTAAGTAGGGAATTAAACGCCTACTTTTTCTTTCGATTGAAAATTTTTCCTCAGATTTGATTGGATAATTGGCGAAATAAATCAAAAAAATCCCAAAAATCGTTCAAAAGTTTGATTTTCCTAAATCCATAAAATTTTCTCTACTTAAGCATGGAAATTGCCTCTGCTTTCCACACTCTGATTTTTAGATTGAAGATTTCTGAAACCCTGATTTTTTAGATTGAATCCTCATTATCAGATTTAATCAGTAGTTTTCGAGAATAATGACAAAATTTCTAAAAGTAAAAGTTTCAAACAATAAGGAATTTTCCGGAAGTCCATCTCGGTTTTTCTACAAAAAAAATAGGATTACGGGGGGAAAATATAAGCACCATGTTAGTTTAAATGAACTATCAACCTCAGAATCAGTAGGTTACTTTTTGAAGAAGAAAGAAGTTTCCAAAAAAGTTCAAAAATTGGACATTTCCTAAGGCCATATTCTTTTTTTGAAAAGCAGGACATAGACGCTTGCACAAGGAAGATTCGCATAACTGGTTTTATTCTTTCGGTTAAACCCTTCATCTGCGATTTGGCAGGGTAATTTTTGAGAAAAGACGTAAAACTTTTTAAAATTAACCAAAATCTCAAAAAATGGTCTTGTTTGAGGCCATAACTTGTTTTCTATCTCGGATTTGTGCATTTAATATTTGAGAGAATGAGAAAAATTCACAACAAATATGCGAAAAATCCTCCTATTGAAAATTACGAAGGCCATAGAACATGAAATAAAATGAAAAGAGACTAGCGAAACATCCAGGCACATAGAAGAGCAGCCGTTTTTTCATTTGGTCTCATCATTTTGAAAATTAGCTGTAGTTTTTGAGAAAAATTGAAAGTTCATAAAAGAGCTCAAAAATTTTCCAAAGCGAAAAAACGGAAAACAACAAATCCCATACATTTTCATGTTACATGTTTTTACAAACAGGAACTAACACTAGCCAAAAATAAAGCAAATAAAGCAGCAACATATGCCATTATATATTTTTTGCTTAAATAAGCTGAAAAAATGATAAAATTGGTTCATACCAAAAATTCAACCAAATGGGTACTTTTATTTGCAACTTGAGTTAGAAAAAAATATCTTCGTAATAACACACGACACTTCGCTTTTGTTCAAATCTGTAGTTCATTATCTCAAGAACCTTGAAAAATCCTTATGCGGACGAAGAAGACTAAATGCGCGAAAACTTTCAACCAATAACACCTTCAAAGTTTCACTTAATTTCCCTTTTCATTCATTTCAGATTTTCAAATACAGAAATCTTATTGGTATTAAATATTTTAGCATTCGGTCATTCTGGCAGTGAAAATTCAGCACTGGACAAGCGCACTTACTATAAAATTTCAACAAGGGAGTGTCAAAGGCTTAGCACGCAAGCTAAGCTGCGCTTCGCAAACACTAGAGGGAAAACGACAAAAAAGCAGCTCTGTAAAGTGAAAAAATAAAAAGCAAGTCTCGAATTATTAAAACTTTTGCTACGTACCGGGTTCGTTTCGATGACCTCTAGATTTGGAGTCCCACGGCCTTCTCTCTCGGTCTTAGATGCTTAACGATCAATAAACACTATCCACAAAAAAGCAGAGAAGAGACGCTTTGAAAATTCCATTGCTACAGATCGTGATTGTTTCAGAAGTGCCACCAATTGAGCGATTTTATTTGCGAGTTATATTGGAGGAAAAAGAAGATTCAAACTAATACACTACGCTCGCTAGCTCGGCAGTGTCATAAATCTCAAAATCATTTGTGAACTCTTTGATTTTTTTTAGAATAAAAACTTTCCAAAAATGAGGTTGAAAGGCTGCTGTAAAATAAAGTTTGCTGGCGAAAAATGGATGTTGAATGGACTCAACAGATATAGCGTGAGTGTTTAGATAGCGAAGGGGTTTAATTGGTGAGCGGGATTGTTGCTAAATGCCGAACTGGCTCAAATGTTTCAAGTTCTGTTTGAAAAGAAGAAGAGTTTTGAACCTTGAGTTCCAGCTGGGCACTGTTCATGAGGAGTTCTAGCACAGCCTCGTGTGTGAAGTGTGAGTGGGTGGAGATGGTCTCCTGCACTGTCTTGTACTGCTTCATTCGGTTGGTTGCCTGTGCCATCTGAAACACACTCAACCATCTCCACTCATAACCCACATTCATTACTGGACCAAGCCACTCAACAGATGAGACTATTTATAACAACGGAAAGAACCAACATACGAGCTGATATCATATTTTGACCTTTCATGATGCATATATTATCGACAAACTACAATCTAAATGTTGCGCAAAAAGTTATGAGTAATTGTATCATCAATTTCAGAGACCATCATTATGACTTTCAATTAGTCAAGTGATATTTCCACCGGGTAGTCAATCGACATTACAGCCCTGTTTCCATTGTTCAGTTGCATTTTCAAATTACTCTGTATTACTTCCAAATTTTGAAATTTTTAAATCTACCAAAATCTACTCGCTTTTATCTGCTACTTTTTGCACAGCTACTAATGATATATAAAAAAAAACATTATTAAGTACAGCGGGCAGTAGTCATATGGTCTGAATGTCTTGATATCTGATTTAACTAGTACATAAATGGGGGGCCCTGTTGAGTGTGAGTGTTTCGGAATAGCATAGTGAGCATATGGTTGTTGCATTGCATGTACCTTGCTGTTGTGCAGCAGCATCCACTTGAGTGTGGTGTTTGACTCCCGGATACAGTTGAGCAGTTTGTCTCTGTTGTCCAACAGGTAGTTCACAGTCAGCACCCCCTCCTTCAGGAAGTTGTTCACACTCACCCCACACTCGCCCATCTTCTTGTGCATCTTCAGCGACAGTCGCTTCACGTTCTCTAGCATCAGACTCTGTGCCAAAGCTAGACGAGCTGCCCTTGAACAAAGCAACACAGCTGCTCTTTCTTTTCTTTTCCACCTCCCGCCAACCCCTCAACAATTGCAATAATAGGCTCACAGAAAATGTAAGGGGGTCAAAAAACGGGCCCGAATATAAGTGAATAAAATACACACTTTCATCGAAAACAGCACAAGTAGAATTACTAACGACCATTGTACATGTATAAACATCTTTGCAAATCTCTATAACCCATGAGTCATCTTAAGTCTACAAACGGAAATAGCTAGTAAGTATATGTTAGAGACAAGAAGAAAAGCGTATGTACTTGTATGGCTCCCACGCCTCTGCCAGATTGACTGGGATGGTCATGTAGAGGTTGATGATCCAGTTGTCTGGGAAGAACTTGTCCACTATTCCCCTCATCTTGGCACTGTCCGAGTGCAGCAACTCAGGCACAAAGTACAGCATCACGTAGATCATAGAGGCCTGTCCAGACAATGCATGACTCCTACAACACCATACATACATACATACATACATACATACATACATACATACATACATACATACATACATACATACATACATACATACATACATACATACATAGAACAAAAGTATTCTCAATTAAGATTTCTAAAAGCTTTTTTTATTACCACCGCAATGTAAAACAGGTCCATAATGAAAACTTTTGGCAGCCTTCTAACTGCGCTTATTTTGATCACAACGTGGTGAACCAGTTTATTCACTTTCCCACAATAGTTTTCAATCTTTGTTTATTCACAATTGAACGGACGAGCGATTTGGGTTCCAATTCATTATTCGACAGAAACTGCTGCTATTATGCGCTTGCTGCTATTATAGGTCAACAGTTGACGAAAGAAATATCTGGGATCTCTCAATAGATTTCCCACAGCCCGTATGGTATCAAGCGGCTAATCTCAACCCATATAGACGAACAATCAAACGTTTTGGAATCCATAAATATTTTTCCGGCCATTGATCTACTGATTGAGGCATTTTGCAGACATTGATACATTTGCGAGCATTATTGAGGCAGCTTTTCGTCTCCACCCCACCCCACCCCAATCCTTTTGAACGGGGGGTGGGGGACTCGTGGAATATATCTCATGTCTTCTCTTTGAGTCACCTGTGTGTGGGGTTTGGGTAGAAGGAGATGAGATTGTACAAGTCATCCGACTCCATCCTGCCACATACAATCTGGAGGAAGTAGTCGTTGAGAGGGACCCTTCTGAACAAACTCTCCGGGTAGTCCTGTGGCCGCACACTCTGCTTGTCCACAGAGGAGGAGTGGATGTAGCCGGTGGAGGCCAGTAGTTTGCACACTTCGTCTATGTGCGAGTCTGTGGACACGTGTGTGCCTCCATTGCGGTAGTAGAACACGAGCATCTTCTCCCTCACGTCTCCTAAAAAGAGACTCATTCGAAGAACATACAAACGTGCACAGAAGATACCAAGGTGAACGAAAGTTGAGTGGCTACTAGTTCCGGTCCCTCTACAGGAAGCAGACTGGTGCTTCCAACCACATCCTGGTCCATGAATTAACTCTCGTCAAGAAAAGCCAAGATGTCTTTATTAAGACTATATCAATATCAGTTCCATCTAGGAGCTGAAACGCACGCGACAGCCTTAGTCCGCTATGTCGTTTATAAATGGTTTTATGTTGAAACTATATTAGAACCAATCATTAAATCTTAAATTACTAAGAAGCCGGTTCACTTGACATAAGTTCTTTTTTTCTAAATTCTTAGCTCTGAGTAGAGACTATTTCCCCCAAATGTTCTCAATGTGCACTCACCGGGTACCTTGATGTCCAAGAGCAGTAGCATCACCCCGTAGATGTAGACTGCCTCTGCCAGCAACTGTTTGCCCTCTATAGTCTTGATCACACTGTCCACCGTCTCCTGCACAAAGGAGCCCTCTGACAGCTGAGTGACATACTTGTTCAGGTCGTCCACGTACTTGTACACACTCTCGAACACCAGGTAGAACCTCTCTATGATGAGTTTGTGGTTGTCTCGGAACTCCTCGTTCAGATCCACCAGCTTCCCGTTCCCACTGTAACTCTTCTCAAAGCTCTCCGATATTCTAAGAACAAATGTCATTTTAATTTTGGGCTACATTTTGTGGCCTATACTTGTACAATACTACCTGCAAGGGCTGCCGTGTCCATAACTCTACATAATCGATGTACTTCAAAATCAGATATGCTCTTTCTAGCTCTCAACAAAAGAGATGTATATTTTTTGAGCTACGTTGAAGTGGCCAAGTCTTTACCTGTCAATCGAAAAGCCCTTCGTACTTGTTGCTTAAGGGCGAGGCATCATTACCCAGCCCAGGAAAATAACCAAAAAGATTGCATCTAATTATAACCATGGACACAACCGCGGTCCTCCGTAACGAGCTGAACAGCTGGTATGTTGGTCCTTTCTATTATGCATCACCCATTACAACTTCTTTTCTTCAAATAATCAATTCTTTACTCACGTGAAATAGTGGAAGTCCATAAGGAGGGGTGCGTATTTCTCATGGTCCCCCTGGCCATTAAAAACTGGGGGGATGAAGTCGGACAGTCTCAGTATCTCAGCTATGATCGCATTCCCCCGGGACACCAACTTGAGGATAGTTTGGCCACACAAGTTTTCCTCGGAGAGGAAGTCGCCCTGATTGTCGGCCATGTCTGCAACCCCCACTTTCTACAACTTACATGTATTTGTTCTTTAGTTTTCAACTCTTTAGTCGGGAATTATGTCAATTTACTACTGACCATTTAATCTAAAAAATTAAATTGCATCAACCCCACCCACCATACACCAACGCGTTCAAAAACCTAAATTTATACACTTTCCGACTTAAAATAAAAGTTTGCAAGAACGCCAGGATCAGAGATGACCTGTGAATTCAATTGAAGCACGTGGAAAAGATGAAGGTGGCATCTATTGTATACACAGAGGCGAAGCTGAGCTTCTCACCACTTGCTTTACACGACAAACATAAAAAACATAAGAAATCGAAAACAAAATTCAAAAAGTTCAATTTTTACCTATTTTTTTTTCAATTGCATGCATACTGAAATATAAGGTCCGGCCCATACTCGAACCCCAGACCTAAGGGTAAAAAGGCGAAAGCGCTAACCCTAGGCCAAGTAGGAAGGAACCTGGAAGAAGTTAAGAGAACAAAAAAGGGAAAAAAGAGAAGAATTTGTCAGGCTGGTTTTCGCAAGTGTAATTAGTTATCTATTAATCACTGTTTCGGCATAATTAATTTTAAAATTTCTTAAATATGGGAGCCAAACAGTCATTATCCAACATTATCCCAAAAATAATTGTCGTACTATATCACTTTGTCTTTTTTGGTCATTGAGCACTCGGCACTTGCCTATCTAGGCCATCTGCAGTGATGTTTAATTGCGCCACTTGGAATTTATTTTCGGAGCGCGTACTTCGTTTTCTTTTTAGCAAATGATTTTAATTTTATTCTTACAAATCCAAAAAATTTAACGCAGAACGCATCAAAAATATAATTCCGCTCTTGAAACGACGTATCACGAGGCAAATAAAACGATTCAAAATAAGCCAAACAAATCATTCAATCAAAAAGTTATAAAAAGCAATTTATACAAAATCACTCATACGAAATCCTGTGACATAGTTATATCCAGAAAATGGTCTAGTAACCGGTTGCAATAACTTTGCTTATCACAAGGGTAGAGAACAAATCCACGAAAACTTCAATTAAAGAACAACTTCCAAAAACGGCTCCTGACTTGAGTCAAATTCAAGGCAATCTCAAAAATCACTTCTAATTGATCAGCACTTGCAGGTCACTTCATCTTAAAAGTAAGAACTGGAACCTGATCTAAACTATATTTTATGATTGGATAAATTAAATGTTTTACCAATGTAAAGTATTTAATATTAACCAATCATGATCCATCTAACTAACAACCCACTTATTTGTAAGTGCTGAAGTTACTTGTAATTTCAGCACCAGAGAGATTTGAATTTAACTTAGAAATTAGTTGGACTCTCCCGAGCACTTCAGCAGCCGCAATAAACCAGTATACCCTAGATCTATTGAGCCTAGCAGAGACTAGTTAAACAACCTGAGACTAGATAGTATAAGAGTAAGATTAGGATCGGTATTAGACTAAGAAGTTGCACGAATCTATCCGGCCGAAAATAAGATAGCGTGACGAGCAGACGGTGTACCCTATCCGAAATTACTCTATGAGTTATACACTCCAGTCCTAACTCATCTGGTGCGACCATAAGTCTCGAACAAGACCTTACTAGATTAGAATTAACCAAAAATAGATTAGAAATTAGACAAAAACATTTACAAAATGTTATACGACAATAATTTAATTGAAATGTCTCTCCGACTCAATAGATCAGAGCCAATATTCCGAACCATAACAGAACTACCCGGAATTGGAAGAAGACCTCGAACCAAAGACGACATACGACAAAGTTAGAAACTTGCCGTATAGTTATATGATAGTTCGGCAAAAGCCAGAACAAACTTTTATATTTCGAATACTACTTGCAATGAATTTAGATTTCCATTTGCAAACATAAAACCTTGAAGTTAATCTTCAAAATCATTTCAGGCGCTAAACAAAATTAATATTATACAATAACGATTGATAAAAAGATCTAAGATCGTTTTCCTAAAACTCTGCAGTATTATACAAAACATGTTTGAAAAATATTTATTGGAAAATAAAAATAAAAATTAGTAGCATGACAATAAATGGTTAGTAATCATAAATCATCTTGTTGTTCCAGCTTCATCACCTAAAACATAACAGCAATCATCAACTCACTAATATCATCAAAACACTAAATCTTTCCTTTACACACATTTAAAAATTTATCAAAACTTAAATTCACTTAATTTTAAAACCAGATCATCAAGGCTTATCCTTGGATCTTAAATCATTTTCTACTTAATTAAATTTCAAATTTGATCATCAAGGCTTATCCTTGGATCAAACAGAACAACTTTGTTCTCCCCCACCCACTTAATTAGTGTCTAACGACCTCAAACGTCGATTCACTACCCAACCCTTTCTAAAGACCCAAGACTAATAGAAATTTTTAAACAAAACTAATCATTCAAATTAGGATAAACAGTGAAGAACTTCGGTTAATCATCCTTCACTTGATCCCCCCTCTTACCAGACCCAGGATAAATCTTAGACTTAGTAAGTTTAAAATAGTATCTAACGAACTACTCGCGTTCTAATTATACCTGAACCTTGTGGATCGATTTACTATTCTCCAACCCTTGAACACAATCACTACCCCTAAGTAAGATTAAGTAAGTTAACACCTTAGCTTATACTAGTCACGAGAAAGTAAAAATCATTCTTCGGAATCGATATACTTTTCTCTCCAACCCTGAACAAATAGACCCAGGTTAAGCTAACCAAAAAATCGTAAGAACTAACAGTTTAGGAAAATAGAAATCATTTAACAACCTTTTGCATCCGTCATCCTAAACCTTATGTCATTTAAAAACCTAGGAAATAAACAAACAATCATTTTACACAATTGTGAAATAGATAACAAAAAATACGACCTTGTAATCACACCTCATACACAAACAGTTGGATACATTCGAACAAAACGACAAACACTAAAGAGAAAAATAATAACTAAACAAAGACAAATAACACGAAGAAGATTTTCAAAAAATCGAAACGCATTTTCAGAATCAGAAACCAACAGTTTAGACGAACTTTACAAACTAAAAGAATCAATAGATAAAAATTACCCACTTCACGATCAATTATATTTTTCTGACTCAGAAACAACTTCAAATTCATCACAAAGAGGAAAAAGAAGAATAAAAAAACAGTACAAACACAAACCAGTACATTTATACAATTGGAATCAACCAATTCGACACATTAATAATTACATATTAACAGTCATCGAACGGAAAAATGAGTTCAACGCACACCCCAGGTGACGAAACTCCAGATGATGATGAAATCTTTCCTTTTATAGTAGACGCAGATACTGATAGAGGACAACACATATTTTGTCAAAATTTACTCGTAAATTTATTTGAACCCGGAATCAGTCCATGTAAAACAGAGTTCCCCGATGTAAAAATCAAAAGACAAATCATAGACCACTACTTAAAAGATATATGCAACATAACACAACAGTATGGAATCTACTCCATAGAGTTCACTTCCCCAAACCATAATAATAGAACATATACTATACAAACAGACGATCTTGATTTAGAATTTTCAAAAGTTTTTTCAGAATATATAAAAAGCATCCAATACCATAACTCACAAAGAGCAAACTCCATATTCACCAATGAAGTTTTCGCAATAATATATAGTTATATTTCGATATTAGAAAATGAACTCCCACTAACAAATGTCTCACCGACAGAAACATCTAAACATTTAAGAGTACGACATGAAATCACACTACTCTCTAGTTATTTAAACATCATTAAAGAAAATTTCACGAAAGACGACGTTTCACAACATACCAAACACGATTTACAAAAAATTTTGGCATGGTTCATAATAGATTATTTCACACACAATATTGATTTAATTGCACAAGCAAGAAAAAATTTTAGACCCCAAAATTCGAACGATGATACCGCTATCACAGAACAATCAGATTATGTTTGGGACCCCGAATGGTCTCATCCCGCATTTATAAGTTTTCCACAATCAATCTCAAGTCAAGCAATAGGTACAATATCTTACATAAGAGATTACGTAAGAGTAATACCATTAACAATTGATGCAACACCATTAAACTATAATACATTTTTACCCGATACACAAAATAATAGTTTAAACTCTACAGTCATACACAACGAAAACCTCAATGGAACTAGGAATCTTACTCAACAAGATATCCAGACACCATCACACTTCATAAATGAAGAAATTGTACACACAACAACTACACAACAAAGTATTTCACCAATACGCCCAAATTTAACAACACCAAGAATTACAAATCCTTCACAAACACAGGTAACCTTACAATCAACCGTTAAACCTTCGGTTGCTCCAAAATATTCACATATGGATTACCAAACATATAGACCCATGACAATACCATCAAAAACACGCAAAACATTCACTAGAAACAACTTTGCAGACCATAATTATAATTATACACATCCATCAAAAACAAATTATCAACCACAAAGGAATTTTAATCAATATACAAAACCTCGAAACTGGGATGACCCAACGGCCCAATATAATTCCAAAAATTTTCAACCAAATCCTCCACAGGATCGCAGTGAAAATTACCCATTTTTTCAACAAAATAAAAATAAAAAACAAACATCTTATCAAATGGATTATTTATCCTCAGATGATGATTTCTTACAACCAGATATATTTGCACCAAATACTCAAGAATATCATAGACAAGGAATACAAAAAACACGTACAAATCATAGAAATTTTTCTCCACAACCGATAGATGCACAATATCAACAACCAATCCAACAACAAAATCCAATTAATACACAAACTTTTCAACCAATTCAACAACAAAATCCAATGACTGCACACTCGTATCAACCATCACAAATGCAAAATGAAATACCACTCCCATATTATCTTCAACAACATGAAATAACAAGAAACCAACTTTCAAATTTTTCTCAAATGCCAAATGCAGCAGAATCATTACAAATGACAATGAATCCATACCTTATGGGTGGATCATCAATAACATCAAACAAACCTTTAATGGTCTTCACAGGAA